TTTTGGTGAAAGTAACTCAAAAGTAATACATGAGTAATGTAACGCATTACAATTCTGAGACAGTAATATTGTAAGGTAATGAATTACTTTTAAATAATAGTAACAAGTAATACCTAATGTATTACAGTTTGGAAGTAACTTGCACAACACTGTCGAACTGCAGTATCAGTTTCAGGCATAATCAGACCGAGAAAGCCGCGATGAAGAGAGTCAAGCAGAACCTCACCACATACTACAGCTCTTACTAAACGTTTCTGAATGATAATTTGCTACATTTTTTTACTTTATACACGTTCATTTTACACAATAGCATCTGACTGGCAACAACAGCAATTGACTGGCTACTAATGTCATACTCAAACAGCGTTGGCATGTTTACGTTCTTGATCAAATCGAAAATAACGTCATAAAGCATATATACATGAAAATACGTTTAAAACATTAGTACTTATAGAAAATTCAGGTCCATAATGTTTGTACGCGTTTGCCGTAGACACAAAATAGCATAGGCTAACTAGTTGTGGCTATAAAGCCAACGCTGGCATTTGAAAAAAATAAAACACAAGGCTACGTCTGGAATTATACATGCAAATACATTTAAAATGATGAAGTCTTAGCCTACTTACAGATTGTGGCTCAACACTGCTGCCTCTTGTTTTAAAGTCGGAACTTCATGTTTTAGTAACAGTTTCTTGTTGTATCCGGTGTTGAACTCCTGGAGATTCTGGAAGCTGTCTTCCGTAAAAATTCGTAGCACAGAGAGCTAGATTACGATCGTCATTTTCAGGAACAAAATCAAACATAAATTGTATCCATTGTTGAGGAAATATAGCGTCCATGGGAAGCCCGGAAGACATGAAGACCCGACAGCTACGTGAACAACACACTCGACGAGTCGACGTGCCTCAGAAATATACGCATGCCATTTTCTGCATATTCTGAGGGAGGGTTGATGCAAATGTGTGGGTTAGTGACGTACCATAACCCAGCTGTAGTCCCAATCAAGTCGTTTTTGTAGGCAATATATTTCCTGATTTTTAAAAGACAATATCTCTGCTTACACTGAACTTTCAGCGCTGCAACTTTGCAGATACTGTTCATGCACCAACAGCAACATTACACACTATTTAAAATGAAAAAAGTGAAATCGCAGTCAACCCCCCCCTTTAAAGTTATGCCTAATATATCTGAAATTGTTATAAAGGGGTCATGAACTGGCTTTTTAAATTGTATTATATTGTTGTCTGAGGTCAACTTATGACATTCGCTTGGTTTTTACATTCAAAAAACATCAAAATGAATAAGTAATAGATTATTTTCTACCCTAGTTTTGAGCCTAGCTCAAAAACGCTCGGTTTTTATGGGCGTCTCACATTGAAGACTTGGAAGTAAACGCCCACTGCTGTGAGTGGATAACAGTTTTGCATTATAATGAGTTTCAACTCACCTGTCAGTGCACATGGGGGAACTTGTTTTGAAAACGTCCAATGTTGTAAAATGGCAACCGGAATGATTCGCCCCGTATATACTCAACCCAAAGTCCGTGTGTTGCACCATTCCTGTCGGATCCAATATAGAAGGCACAGCACTGTTCTTTACTCTTCATCGGTCTGCAAATCCAGTATCGACCTGTGTCTTGTTTACAAAACAATCCTCAGTGAAATGAAGCGAACAGACGGGCAATGTTTTACCCTCATCAGCTGGAACATCATTAAAAAATAAAGTTTAACCATGCAGTCCTATTGGAATCCAAAGGAAGCTTATGCAGCGACTGTCTTCTTCCACAACCAGGCACTGCACAATATTTTGTATTGCTCGGTAGCTCGATCCGGTTTGGCATAACGAGGTAGGCCTATGTTATTTAGCTATGCGTGTAATGCGCTAATCCGTGGGCGGGGCTAAACTGGCCGTGTTGAAGTAGGCGTTGATCTTCTTCTGTGGGGGTGGTGATTTATCCTCTTTGACGTCATAGTTCCCCACTTTGAAAAACGAGTCGTTTGGTGAGCCTGGTGTCAATAAAAGCTTTTATTGGACTAACAAAGACGTTTTCAGTTCTGATACTTAGAGGATATTCTTATAATATGATGACTGTAGCAAGGTTCAGGGAAGAAGGAGGCAGGAACCGGATAACAATCAAAAATAAAACTTTATTTAAATGCAATAAACAAACAAAATACCTGCCAGCAGTTCCTCACGGAACTGCTGGCTACCCAAATAAAACATAACTACCGGCCAGCAGCCCCTCGCGGACGACTGATGGCTTACCAAAATAAAATATAAAATGCAAACAAAAGCAGGCCTGTTCCTCTCTCGATCATCCACTCCATCGCTCCCCCGTTATGCTTCCACTCCTCCGTGAGAGATGCGAGACCGGTGTGCTTCACAGGTGCTGCTCATTAGCAATCGCACCAACTGCCTCACGACTTTCTCTCATGTCCCTTGGCTGTCCTGCTCACCACATACCCCCATCACCCCTCATAGGCCTGGGGGTACACCCGAGACTGTGCCTACTAGACGGCCAGACGGCAGGAGTCCCCCGCTCCCTGCTCCTCCCCTTCACTGGCAGATGGAAGCAGGCTCCGGCCCACGGCAAGCGGCGGTGACTCCTCCTCTCCCTCCCGGAAGGCAGCTGCCCCTCCATTTTCCAGGTGGTCGGCGGCGAGCTCGGGCGCCTCACCGGCAACCCACCCCAGCGCCCCACCTCGAGCGTCCATGGCCGCGAGTCCCCTGCTCCCTGCTCCTCCCCTTCTGCGGTGGACGGCAGCAGGCTCCAGCCCACGGCGAGCGGCGGCGACTCGCGCACCATGCTCGATGGCACCGCGGATTCCCCACAGTGGTGAGGACCCTCGGACAGCGCGTTCCTCCCTCTTCCCGGGTTTTGGCACCAGTGTAGCAAGGTTCAGGGAAGAACGAGGCAGGAAAACAATCGAGAACCGGATTACAATCAAAAATAAAACTTTATTTAAATTCAATAAACAAACAAAATACCTAAAAGTTCCTCACGAAACTGCTGGCTACCCAAATAAAACATAACTACCGGCCAGCAGCCCCTCACTGACGACTGCTGGCTTACCAAAATAAAATATAAAATGCAAACAAAAGCAGGCCTGTTCCTCTCTCGATCATCCACTCTGTCGCTCCCCCTTTATGCTACTGCTTCTCCGTGAGAGATGCGAGATCGGTGTGCTCCACAGGTGCTGCTCATTAGCAATCGCACCACCCGCCTCGCGACTTTCTCTCACGTCCCTCGGCCATCCTGCTCACCACAATGACCTCTTAGATGTCAAAAGCTCAAGGAAAATTTGATTTCTCAGTTTATCACCCCTTCAAAAAATAGTCGCCAGATTTCAGACAACTTGGGGCATGCCCAAAACATGTGGGTAAGATTGCATTGAGTCTGCGTACATCTACTGCAATTCTCATAAAATTTGTCTGGATAGAGCTTTGATAGTTTGTCCTTACTATAGTTCAACCTCTGGAAGACTTTAAATTGTATTAGGGACAGTCTCGCGCAGCTGGATGATGAGTTAACAGCCCCTATGGCTCCCTCCCAGAAGTTCTCAGAGAGACTCAATTGGAGTTCTGACTCCCAGTTCGTCTTGATCTTACTGTATGTAAAATAGATTCACTGGCTAAGGACAATAAATTATAAAAAAAAGGAGATATGGCCCTTTGACATGGTTTTAGCCTTGAGAGCCAGGTCCATCCCGCTGGGTGTTGGTATCTGTAGGAATGACGTGGCGTGTTTTTTCGCACAGTTCCGCTACAGGAAGTACTGGGAAAAGGTCTGATTTATGTAGATTGAAGGTAGAAATTAATTGGTTGAAGCTCACAAATATACCATCAATGTACAGGTCTCTTAAACTACGCAGCCCTTTGTTTTATAAAACTAAAAATTGTGAGTCAGTCTTTGCTAGAATGAACAGGTGATTTTCAAGAGGGGCGGTGAGCCATCCAAAGTGACGTATTATTTGCGTCCAAATTTTTAGAGTTCCAACAACAAACGTATTAGAGGTAATGTTTGACGGGGAGAAGGGCATTGTGCTACATGTTAAAGCTAGCAGCGACGAGGAGCAGGAGGCTGACTCACTCTGGCACCAACTGGATTGAGGGGAAGTAAACCCAGATATTATCTTATGCACGTTGGCTGCCCAGTACTAGCCCATTAGATTGGGTAGACCCAGTACCCCAGCCGATCTGTCCCTACAAAGCAGTGTACGACTTGCCTTTGGCTGTTTACCAGCCCAGATAAATGATGAAATAATGTAATTTATAACTGTGAAAAGGGACTTGGGAAGGAAGATGATCAGACGTTGAAAAACGTAAAAGTATCTTGGTAACACATTCATTATTATAATTTGTATCCTACCGGCCAAGGATAAGGAAGGCAATTCTATCTTTGTAAATCGGACTTGACCGTCATCAATGAAGTCAGATTTTGCTCTTGCATTGTTCGCAAGGATCGTGTAACTAATGCCAAGGTATTTAAATCCTGTGTTGGCTATTTTAAAGGGTATAGTTGATGGCGATATGGCTACAGCTAATTGGCTGATTGGGAAGGATACTTCCCAACAGACTTTTTTTTTTTTAAGAAATGTATTCTTTTATTCAGCAAGGATGCATTAAATTGATTTAAAGTGACAGTAAATAAGTTTATAATGTTACAAAATAGTTATTTTTCAAATAAATGCTGTTCTTTTAAATTTATTCATCTAAGAATCCTGAAAAAAAAATGCATCCACAAAAAAATATTAAGTAGCGCTACTGTTTTCAACAATTTAGATAATAATACACGTTTTTTTAAGCATCCACTCAACATGTGACACTGAATAATGGAGTAATTGCTGTTGAATATTCAGCTTTGCCATCACAGGAATAAAGTACATTTTAAAATATATTAAACTGCAGAAAAATTGTTAAATAAATTTTAATAATATTATTTATTTATTACTGTATTCTTCTTGATCATTTAAACCTTGATGAGCATAAGACTATTAAAAACCTAAAAAAAATGAACCAATCCCAAACTTTTGAATGATAGTGTATTTACAACTAGAATGGTTTCAAAGAAAAAGTCATTCTCAAAATTGATAGTACTAACACGTAGATAAAATATGTTCATTTTGTCTTCATTGTCCTGTGCCATGATGTCACTGTTTTAGCGTTCTGTTTGTAGTGTCGGCTGCTGGACAGTTGGGGGCAGCAGGCAGGTATGAGCCACTGGAACATGCAGAGATGCAATCTGGAAATAATTTTCACAGATTCGAGCTGCACGTTGAAAAAAATGAATGCCTCGCACTTCCTGCTTCATCACAGCACGATTCCACAGAAGTATGTATTGACCTCAATTTTTAGGTCTTTAGGTCTTATTTGTCTGAAAATATGATCAATGGAAAAGCAAAATGATTGGAAATATTTGAATGTTAATTTTGGACGTTAAAGGGTCGTATAAGCAACCATAATTCGAAGATTATGTTTGTTTGTTTTTTTAAATTTTACTTTCATTGTTCACTCCAAAATATGTGCCCTTTTTGTCAGATTCCATGCAGTGTTTATGACGTAAAAGAAAAAAATTGCAGCATGTAAGGAAATAAGGAAACACATTTCATATTCCACATGAATGTTGTCTATTCTCAGCTTTCACCAAAGATTGCATATGTTTTGTGGTGTAATGCCGACCTGAAATCTTTTTTTGACATATAGGATTTGCAGAAGTTTGCAAAGTGCAAAATGAGCGCAATTTTAAGATGACCTACATCTTGAACAGTTCTTTACATGGTTGTTACATTGGCTCGTAATTTGTATGTGGTTACACTATATTAGCAGAATAGCCATGGAAACCAATGAAATCCAGAGCAGTCATATTTCTTTTAACCTGAATGCAGTGACAGTCATGTCCTTTCATTCAATGGACTTTAGTTTTCCCAACGGCTATCCATGTGCTGAGGAAATATGAGCGTGTATCATTTGCAGAAGATGAATGGACTCTATGCGTGCCGCTGGGCTGTGGCATGCCTGATGTGGATCGGAGCCCTCTCTGGACTTGACTCTGATTTGTTTCCTCTAATATATTACTGAACATTTTGGTTTAGCGGTTTGACTTGGGTTATGGAACATACGTTTTGGCCAGCCAGAGGTGCTTTCTAGTGCAGCCGACTTCCTGACAGATTCTGCACTTTTCTTGGCCAGAAATTCCCCTCCTTAACGTGTGGATGTTTTTCATTGTGTTCTGCAACACTTTCTTCCTTAATTCTTTCATTCGAGCTTTCTTCTGTCACTGACATGCTCCACCAGCTGTCAGAAATTAACATGAGAGAATGGAATGCAGCTTTTGCAAGCGCTGAATTGGAGTGACATAACATGTTTGAGTGCTCTCAGACGTCTGCTTTTCTTAGTAACTCCACAGTCACTTCGGGGAAGTTTTTGAGTCTAGGACACATGCCACACACATACACACACCCTAACGTAAACTATGAGTAGTGCATTTTTGAACATGAAACGCTGGGTCTCGCTCTTCCTGCACATCAGAGTATGTAATCTATAACAGGTGGTTGGGCCTGTTCTCCAGCGACACAGTGAGAGGTATACATTTCAAAACAAGAACATTTCAAAATTAGAATCTGATCAGAAATCACTTCCACTTTGGCAAGCTTGCTTAAGCCTATGCAGAACCATTTCTGCTTTTGTGGTTAAAGACAGAGAAGACCTTAAAGAGGAAGTTAACCCAGTGCCTAACGTTTTAGATGTTCTGCTCTTTAACCAGAGTACAAATTTAGTAAATGCTTCCCAAACTATATAGTTTTTTATTATATACACTTTAAAATTTTTACACCAGTATTTTTTTTTTTTTAAAGAAACTATGCATTAAATTGATCGAAATTGACGGTAAAGACATAATGTTTCAAATTTCTGTTCTTTCTATTCATCAAAATACTGAAAAGAAAACAAAAACTTTTCATCATTGATAATTACGGAGCCCCTAAAGGGACCCCTGCAAAAATAAAAATAAAGACTATCGCGTGTGCACGCAAAACGTTTCTCGTGCGCACGCATTATAATTTCCAGTTTGCATACAGTTTACGTCACTGTCATTACAATTAGGAAAACAAGCGCATGGATGTCAAAGTTTAAACTTGTCCAATAGATTAAAAAAGACCAAAGTGTTATTGAAGTGTTAGTTTCAACACGACCAATGAATCCTTATTTTTTTGGAATTGTTTAACGGGCATATTAATCTGATCTAATCTAATATTAATTTCTATTAATTTCTATTCTATTTTCTAATACTAATAAAATCCTCTCTCACTAAGTCTGCCTTCTTTCACCTTCGTAATATCACACGTTTGCGTCCATTTCTGAACATCAGCAATGCTGAAACCTTGGTTCATGCTTTCATCACATCACGCTTAATTGCTGCAATTCTCTTTTCAATGGCTTTCCCACTCATCTATAAATAAACTTCAATATATTCAGAACTCCGCAGCTAGGGTCCTTACATGCACAAATAAATATTCCCATATTGCTCCGATTTTACGTAGACTTCATTGGCTACTGGTACGTTTTCGTATTAAAGGGATAGTTCACTTTGAAATTAATTTTTGATATGTTTTAGCTTACCTCAAGGGCATCCAAGATGTAGGTGTCTTTGTTTCCATCCACAGTATTTTCAATTTTGATATTTTTTGGTCAAACCGTTGTTGTCTGTCAGTCATATAATGCAGGTTTAGGGGGTCCACCTTTGGTTCACCTCTTAAGAGCATGCACAGAGAAGTCAAAATTAAACATAATTTAATGACTCGAAAACGTAAGTACACATTGATGGCCTAAGACACGAAACGAGCGGTTTGTGTGAAAAAACGAACAGTATTTATATCATTTTTACCTCGTGTAATCACAGCCATGTCCAGCTGATCTGACGGCATGGGCGCTTTGGTCTGCGCAAGCACCGGAAGTGATCGCTTGCGTGTGTACGTCACTCATTGTTTACACAGAGATTTCGGAAGTTTTACTAGCGTTTACTAGTAAGCGTGAACACGAGACTTGCATACATATTCTACGCCCGATTGCTTTGCGATTACTTTGGATGGGGAGCGTTTTACAATAGCCCTGTGATGTGCGCACAACACTTTGGGCAAAGTGTTTATTAGTAAGCATAAGCGCTAGTGAGCGCCAGCGGGCATGAGCCTTACAGTATACGTATTTGATGTCCCGATCGCTTTGGATGGGGAGCATTTTACAATAGCCCTGTCATGTGCGCACAGCACTTTGGGCAAAGTGTTTATTAGTAAGTGTAAGCGCTTGTGAGCGGGCACGAGACTTACAGTATATACGTATTTGACGTCCCGATCACTTTGGATGGGGAGCGTTTTATGATAGCTCTGAGATGCGCACAGTGCTTGGACGAAGTGTTTAATAGTAAGCGTGAACGCTTGCGAGTGGGCACGAGACTTACATAGTTGACGTCCCGATTGCTTTGGATGGGGAGCGTTTTATGATAACTCCGTGAGGTGCGCGACGCTTTGAACAAAGAGTTTATTAGTAAGTGTGAGCGCTCGTTAGGGTTGGGTATCGAGAATCGAGTATCGATTGGAACCGAGACTAACTTTTCATTTTTCCCGGAATCGTTCAAAAGTTAAATTTTCGATTCCTAGTTTCGATATTCACAGTCCGCCGAGCGGAAGAAGAAACCGCTGAACAACACCAACAAAGAAGCGTCTACCGGAAGTGTTGACATAACCACGTGAGTCGAACATGAGTACCTTACGTCGGCGATCCAAAGTGTGGCTTCACTTTTCCAAAAATAACGAAATCTCGGCAAAATGCAAAATTTGTGACAAAAGGAGTATTTTTACAAGAGTATTTCCTTCAGAAAGGCCGTTGGTTAGCAAGGTTGGCTAAACTTTTTTGACCCTGCCTCTTAAAAGAATCGGAATCGAGAATCGTTAGGAACCGGAATCGAAACAAGGAATCGGAATCAGAATCGTTCAAATTCAAACGATACCCAACCCTAGCGCTCGTGAGCGGGCACGGGACTTACAGTTATATGTGATACCGCGATCTCTTGGCATGGGCAGTGTTTTGTGACACCAATGTGCAGAATGCGCGGGCGGCACTTGGGGAGAGATGTGCATTAGTAACCGTGAGCGCTCGTGGGCGGGTTTATATTCTGACTGATATGAGTCTTTAAAGGCCATTTGACAGAGCAGGCAGAAAGTAGGCGCATGGACTCGTGGACGCATTTTTTTCATTTCAAGCCACTCGAAGTAAGAGAGGCTGCGAAATGTTTGAGAAGTGGAGGTTGGTCCGGCCTCAGCCATACTAAAACACACTCTTTCCTCATTTTGCCAGTGACGCATGTGCACAAGGCGCTTTCGGTACGTTAGAAAGCTGCCCGCGAGTTCAGAGAGGAGAGCTGCATAAAATGTTTATCAGCTGCGAGAGCTCGGATCGAATACGGGTCTCTGGATCGAACATGGGTCTGTGGCACGAAAGCTTTGTGTTTCACCACTGAGCCACAGTGGCAAGACATAAGCTTTATCTCTTTTGCATCAGAAATGACGGCAGTGCGGCTCGTGGCGGCAGCTGCGTGTCTGTGAGGGGAGGCGGAGAAGGCGAGAGCGAAGCTCAAGGGAGGGAGTCCGGTGGGCGTCGCGGTGGCCACAGGCTCCGGCGGCCTTTGAGAACAATGCTGCTTTGCGCAGTTCTAAAAAAAGGGCGGAGTGACAGCTTGAGGGTAGAACACTTCGCGCCAAGCCCGCAGGGTCGACATCGGAAGTGTGTCACAGAGCTCACAACCCCCTGCGAGAGGGCGAGAGCTGCATGTTTATGGCCCAGGCAAAGAGCGCACATCACATGCCGGCCTCCATCCGAAAAAGACACTCGCTGCTCTTTTAGACTAAGTTTTGCAAGAAAGGATACGTTGCCAGATAGCATAGCTCGCACGGATGGCTGAAGGTGGCTAAGACGGCCAGCTTCTTCAGGTGCTGTTCTAAGCTGGCTTGTCGCCTTCTCTCTAGTTCCAGCAATGCGTAGAGCATCGCTGAAGAGATGAAAATCAGAGAAACAGCCTCTGAGCCCTGCTTATTTATGCTAAGCCACGCCCATACTGGCTATGATACTGTGAAGGCGCGAGCACCCTTCATTGGACGTGATGTCACGTTGAGCTCAGTGGTAGGCTGCTGCAGTTCCCGCAGGGCAGCCTATGAGCACGCTAAATAGCCTGCTCTAGGTGTGCTAGCTGCTGCACTGCGTTGACAATTAATACAAAATTAAGTATAATTTTTTGGCTTCAATATCTCGAAAAGATGAATATTTCCAGTAGCGTAAGCTAA